ATAAAGTTTTTCTAATGAAGAAGCTATTCAATATGAATATAGTAGAAGATAGTTTAGTGGCAGAACATATGAATAATTTTAATACTGTGATGAGTCAGTTGAGTTATGATGGGATCAAATTTGATGATGAGGTCAGAGCAATCGTGATATTATCTTCATTATCGAATAACTGAGATGGTTTGGTCACGATAATGAGTAATTTTTTAGAGAATTTAGTTGAACTTTGATGACATTGTGAGTTTGATGCTGAATGAAGAAGTTCACAAAAAAATACTAAATGTTGAATCATCAGGTTTTGCATTGAATGTTGATAATAGAGGAATGAATCATTACAGAAATACGACCAGAGGATGATCCAAGTACAAAAGAGAAAAGTTCAATTCAAGTAGAGGAGAAAGATGAATGCAATAAGAAAAGACATTTCAAGAAGGATCACAAATCTAAGGAAAGCTGGCGGTGAAGGATAAGAAATGAGTCTCTCTACAAATGTTTCAACTAGTGAACTTTAAAATGACTAGCTGATAATATACCTAATCAGTACCAAATTTTGGATAGTACATATAGGTGTTTCTTTTTCATGTTTGCCCCAATAAAGAGGTATTAAAAAAATATACTTGGTCTGATCTAGGAAAGGTTTATCTGAGAGATAACAATATTTGCAATATTGTAGGAAAGGGTGATGTCGATATCAGGTTGTCAAATAGAACAATCTGGAAGCTTACTAAAGTTAGAAATGTTCCAAGTTTGAAGAAAAATCTTAGCTCTTTGAGCCGGCTGACAAAGTCAGGACTCGTGACTACTTTCATAGCTGATTCATAGAAGGTGACTAGTGGGGCACTAATGATGGCTTGGGACAACATTGAATGTGCCCTTTATATGATCAATGACATTGCTGATTTCATTGATGTGGCTTGAACCGGGGTACATGCAGGTTTGTGGCAATGTAGGCTTGGTCATAAGAGCGAGAAATGTTTGAAGTCTCCACTTTATAAAAATAAGCTTCATGGTTTAAAATCAGTTGATTTGGATCTATGTGAATACTGCATATATGATGAGTAGAAGAAATTTTCTTCCTTTAAGAGTGGGTCAGCGGTGAAATCAATGAAACTAAAGTTAGTGTATACTGACGTAGAAGGTCCTACTCCAGTACAGTCCATTTGCGGTTCTCACTATTTTATCATGTTTATTGATGATCAGACAAGAAAAGTATGAGTTTATTTCTAAAAGCAACAATTGGTTGTATTTAAATTCTTTAAGAAGTGGAAGGCTATGGTAGGAAACGAGACATGCTTGAAGTTGAAGTGTCTCAAATTAGATACTAAAGGCGAGTACTGTAATCAAAAGTTTTGGAATTTCTGTGCTACATTTGTGGGGGGGGGGGGGTCAGGATTGAGTTCACGTTCCTCAAGCATGAGTTCACTGTCCCAAAGATACCGCAGAAGAATGGTGTCGCTGAACACATGAGCAAAATATTCACAGAGCATGCTAGGAGCATGTGGCTGCATGCAAGCTTGCCAAAACAGTTTTGGGCTACAGTAAACACTACAATTTATTTGATTAATCATAGTCCATCAGTACCTTTGGAGGAAGGCTTACCTGAAGAAGCCTGGATGGAAAAAAAGGTAAATCTATCTCATTTAAGAGTATTTGGATGTTTTGCAAATGTGCATGTTGATGCAGGTTCCATGAGCAAGCTTGACTCGAATTATGTTAAATGCACCTTCATTAGATATAACTCAGATGTATTTGGGTACAAGTTTTGGGATTATTAGAATCAGAAATTCATCAAGTGCAGGGATATCACTTTCAATTAAATGGAGATGTACATGGACAAGGCCAGAACTCAGGACATCCAGTCAGCTACTTCTAAAGAGTCCAAGTATATTGAGATATAAGGTACTGATTATTAGGAGGATGATGAAAGGAGAAATGCTTAACTAGAAGAAGCAGTGGAAGTTCTTCAGTCACTTGCTACTGAAGTCAGGACATCCAATCAAGTGATACAACTTGTACATAGGTATTATCCTTTACACACTATTTGTTGTTGACTGATAGTTATAAACTAGAGTGCTTTGAGAAAGCCACTCAAGTTGAAGATTCAAGGAAGTGGGAGTTTGCCATGGAGCCATGGATGAAGAAATGCAATCTTTGGAGTCAAATCAAACTTGGGATTTGACGTTACTACTAAATGGTAAAAGAGAACTACATAGCAAGTGAATCTATAGGCAGAAAGAAAAGTTAGATGGTAGCAAACTCTACAAGGCAGAACTTGTTGTAAAGGGTTTCGAACAAAAAGAAGAAGCATAATATACAAGATCTTTTCCCTAGTGGTGAGAATGATGACTGTTGGGGTTATGCTGAGTCTGGTAGCAGAGGAAAATCTGTATTTGGATGTAAGAACAACTTTAATACATGGAAATCTAGAGGAGGAGCTAAACATGGTGCAACCACAAGGTTACAAGGTTCTAAGCAAAGAAATTTTAGTCTGCATATTTAATAATAATCATTATGAATTGAAGCAGACCTCAGGATAGTGGCACAAAAGTTTGACAGTTTCATGTCAGACAAGGATACATGAAGTTCCAGACAGACTAGTGTTGCTTCATCAAATACTTTGGTAATTATTAAATCTTGCTTCTTTTGTATGTGGATAATATATTGATTGCAAAAGAAAATATGGAGAAAATTAAGGACTTAAAGAGTTAGTTATCAAGTGAGTTCGAGAAGAAGGATTTAGGTGCAACCAGAACGATCCTCGGGATGAGAATCAACACGGACATGAGTGCAGGAATACTGAAGTTGTCTCAAACAGACTATGTTGAGAAGATCCTACAGAGGTTCAACATGGGAGAGGCAAAACCAGTTTGCACCCCCTTAGTTATTCACTTCAAACTATCTAAGGAGCTATCTCATATCTCTGAAATAGAGCAAGCACATATGGAAAAAAATCTATATGCATTAACAGTTGGAAGCTTGATGTACACGATAATTTGTACCATACCAAATATTGCATATATAGTGGGAGTGTTCAGTAGATACATGAAAAATCCAGACAAACATCATCAAGAGGCAGTGAAGTGGATTCTCAGGTATTTGATGGGAACAGTTAAAAGTGTGCTTTTTATTGAAATGCAGGGATCATTCTATAGGAATTTGTTGATTCAGATTTGGTAGGAGATGTGGATAGTAGGAGAAATACAACAAGGTATATCTTTATTTTAGGGAATGCAACGGTGAGTTGAGTTTCCAGGTTATAAAAAATCTTTTCACTTTCAACTACGGAGGCCGAATACATTGTTATCACTAAGGCTAGCGAGGAGTTCATTTGGCTACAATGTTTCATGGCAGAATTGGGAAAGGAGCAGGTTATTAGAAAACTCTACAGTGATAATATGAGTGCAATTCGTCTTGCTAAGAATGTTTTTTTTCATGATAAGGTGAAACAAATTCATCTAAGGTATCATTTTTTTCGCTCCCTCCTAGTAGATGGGTTGTTGTTCTTGGAAAAGATACACACAGCTCAGAATCTTGCAGACATATTGATGAAGGCTGTTACTATTGAGAAACTAGAGCCATGCTTGATATTAGTTGGATTTCATAAAAGTTAAGACTGGGGGTGAGCCACACCTTGTTACGCAACCATTATACTTGACTATGAGGGCGATTTGGCTAGAGGTGCAGGTATAAAGGACTAGTGTTGGGTGCAATCAGTCTCCAAGTGGGAGATCGTTATGTATGAAGATAGATTTGGATACCACCACAAATGCTCAGGACCGAAATAGAAAAGTCAATGCTTAAGTGCCAGTTTATGGATGCATATGCACCATTTATGGGCACCAAGAGAGGAGGGGGCGCGTCCTAGGTGCCCAATATTAAGCGCATATTTCCATTTCTCCAGAGAGAACCACATTTAGCCACCAAGTACGGGTTCCTATGGGCCCGAACTAGTTATCACACGGTTTTTTGTTTTATGGGTCGAACTTCAGGGTAGTATAGTTGTTTTCCTTTGGTGCGTTCTTCAACATCCCAATGAATAAGAAAAGTGTTGGAGAGGAGGATTTCAATGTCTTCGATGTGTGTTACTCGCTTTAGATTGAAAGAAAGAGTTTAGAGCTGGGACTTGTAAGTTTTCTTGAGAGAGGAGAGGAAATTGAGTGTGCTCTCTGTAAACTTTGTTTTTCATAGTGGAATTTTTTTGTGGTGTAGATCTGTGATTTTTTTTCAATTCTCGGGTTTTTTACGTTAAATTCTCGTGTGTTTTTTTTTGTTTATTTTGTTGTGTTTCTGTTTATAAGTTTGTTCCGGTTTTCTCAAATCAACGCGATCTTATTCCGTGATGTGGTTTAGATTTCGAGTCTAAGCCTTAACGAATTTTGGGAAGGAGATTCTTCTGCAAGTTACTTTCTCCCAGAACTAGGTTGGTCTCGATCGATATCTAACATCTAGTTCGACCATCCACTAGGATGGTTCACCCTAGGTTTGCTGTTCGATCAATATCCATACTCTGTTTTGACCATTCTCTAGGCCGGTTAATTCTTGATTAGTCAGTCGCTCGATTGGTATTCAACCTCTGATATCTTTGTTTATTCTCATTAACCCCTATCTGGTGACACGTGCTCCACTATGAGTTGTATGCGAAAAATTTGACCAAGAGTATTTTATTTGTACAAATATAATATTTTTATCAAATGCTTATAATTTGGATCCAAGTTGCACAAGTAATACTTTACTACCATATTTACAATTCCAAGAAAATACGTTCATACTAGCATTAAAAGGAAAAAAAAAAAAAGGGTTTCGAGAGAATTTTGATCTCACAAAATTTAAAATTTGTTGACTTAATTTTAAATTAAATATAATAAATTTGATAATTATTCTAATTAAAATCCTCCCAGAAATTGCTTTTTTCCTTAATAATCCCTAATGATATTACACCCAAATTATTTATGCTCTTTCAAAATATTAATATTTGTTTGAAAAAAATTATGTCAAGACGCACCGATAGAAATTGGACAGGTTCATGACCACCTCGCCACGGGTCCAAATCTGTTTTCTTTCGTCTCCGTCCATGCGGTGCCGGTTCTTCCCCGCACCAAAACTTAAACCCGAAGACCTCTTCTCCATTTCTCCAGCTTCGCTGTAACAGTACTAAAATGGAAGAACCGAGAGCTGCTACTCTGCAAGGCCAACCGAAACCCCCGAATCCGGAAGGAGCGGAACCTGTCGCCGTTACCGCTAATGCCCCAGCTAACAAGAAAAGGAAGTCAGATAGTGGCGGATTCCACAACTCCGATTTCGTTAAGGTTCGCGCTCTGGTCAAAGAGCTCCGCCCTTTCTTCATGGAGGTGACTCTCTTTCTCGTTACTTAAACCTGGTTCAAATCTGGTTGTTTGTTATCTACTAGTTCTGTTTTTTTTTTTCGGCTCAATGGGCTATTTCTTTTCTTTGATTTTTGAAAGTCTAGTTAAGGGATGATTTAAGGTTAGTGGAGCTGGTGCATGCCCAGTAGGAACTTTTCGTAAAACTCATTTTTCATCCCATTGTTTTATTCCCAATTTATGAGTCTGTTATCTTCGTTTTGACAGGATTCAAAACATATGGAAATACACCTGGATAGTGCTATTTTAGTCATTAATAATGTGATATAAAATTTGCAATGATTCTCCAATAAATGTGCTTTGGCTGACAACATAAACATGCTCATGTGTTTTTATAATTTTTGCACCCAACTAATCTATGCAATTAGGGCTGTAATTGAGTTGAGTCGTGTTGAGTATATCATAGTTGGACTTGGCTTGGTACAATTATAAGTTGTTCATGTTCGGCTTGAGCTTGTGTCGAGCTTTCGCATTATTGTTAAAGCTTGACATGTTTAAAGTTTTCAATGTTTGCACTTGATTTATTTATGACAAGTGAACCAGTTTTAGAGAAGCTAATAAATGAGCTAAAAGTAAAATGAGTATCTAGATTTTCATATGAAAATATAATAAATAATTTTACGAATCTAAATAAATAAATAATTAAATAAATCATATCAAAAAAAGAACTAATATATATATATATATATATATATACATACATATATATCAATATATATGTAAGTATATATATATATATATATATATTCACAACAATGAATTTCAAGACATAAAAAAATATTGAAACAAGAGCAAAAAAAATTAAATGAAATAATATTACAAAGTAACTCATAATGTAAAATCATTCATCAGTTGTAGAAATAATTGAGAAAAAATAAAGATAGTTAGATCAAGCATAATAAAAAAGAATGAACAAAAGTTATGTTCACGTTTAGAATTCCATCATGTTAATTTTCAAATATTTAATAATTAATAATAAAATAAATTTATAATTAAAAATTAATCTAAAAATGTCATTGATATAATAGTTAATTACTATTAAATCTATAATTAAATAATTCATAGCTGATCAAATTTTATTTTAATAAAATATTTTATATGATACATGGTATGTTTGAGCTTAATAGCGAATATTTAACAAGTTACTTGTTGAACAACAAATAGCTTGTTTGTGAATATAAATGAACAAGTTTGACTATGTTCATGTTTAATTCATTGAAGATTTGAGTTTTAAAAAATTGTTCAAGCTTGTTTATTTACTAATTTGAACGAACATGATCGAGTCTTAATCGAGTCGTGTGCGAGTTGTTCATCGAGTGCATTGGTTCATTTACTACCTTATATGCAATAAATGCTTATATAATGTCCTTTACCTTTATGAGGCCTTCCATCTTAAGAACATGTGCATTCCTGTCCTCTATTAGTAAATTTTCTTTGCTTTTGATTACATCAATGTTTGCAAAACTTCATATGACTATAAAAGGCTAAAAATTTGGGCATAGCCGTACATATGGAGTAGTGTTTTTTGAAAGTTTATTAATATGCTTATATTATTTTTTTCATTTAAAAATATTTGGGGCATTTACCTGCATACCGCACAATTCTTATATTTTTACATGTGTAACACTTAAACTTTCATATTTACATGTGCACTTAAATCTCTAACATACATAAAAAAACCACAATTGCTAGCTTTTTTTAAGTGAAATACAGTTTTTATTTATAAATTTATGATACCAAAGTGTGACAAATATAAATATCAAACTCTAGGTGTTTGATTAAGTCAATAGCCTATGAAGGATATGTAAATACATAAGAATTGTGTTGTATGTATGTAAATTTCTCAAAAAATTTATATTAAGATGTTTATATATCATTTGTTGTTCAAATTATCTCATTTAATTTAGTTCAAGTTTCACTTAATTAGAATAGCCTTGATTACTGCGTAAACATGAATTGTCATAATTCAGCCACTTTGGAAGATAACCTGAGATGTTGTTTTTCATTGATTCAAAACTGGGAGGAGACATAAGGATTGTCCTCATTGAAAGAAAGAGTTAAAACAAGTTACCAAACAATGAATCCTCAAGTTAATGTTGAATCTTAAAATTATTTCAATGTTTGAATCCTCAGAGAAGAATATAGGAAGCCAAAATATGGGCTGCATGAAATTCTGATTGACTCTTAGTAGATTATGAATAAGAAATAAAATTTTGGGTTTAAGGAGGCTATCGGGTTTGATAATTCAATATTCTAAAATACCTCTATTATAGTTTATGATGATGAAGTTCTTTCTTGCACGCTATGTCCAATATAAGGCTTAGAAATTGAAATAAATTAGTTAAACTAAGTTACAAAACAATGAATCATCAAGTTAATGTTGAATTTTTAAAACATTTGAACTTTTGAATACTCATAAAAGAAAGTAAGAAGACAAAATATGGGTTGCATGAAATTCTTATTGAAACTTGGTAGATTATGAATAAGAAAATGAAAATTTGGGTGTAATGAGAGTATCAAATATGATAATTTAACAATGTTTTAAAGTATCCCAATGATGATTTGTAAGGATGAAGTTCTTCCTTGCACACTAAGTCCAATTTAAGGTATATAAATTGAATGTAATGTGCGATAATAAGTTACATTAAGTCCTTGAAGCTTTTGTACATATCCCAATGATGTGCGATAATAAGTTACATTAAAGTATCCCAATGATGTGACTTATTAAGTTACATTAATCCCAACTTTCTTCCTTGTACACTAAGTCCAACAATGAACCCTCAAGTTAATGCTGAATCCTTGAAGCTTTTGAATTTTTGAATCCTCAGAGAAGAAAGTTGGAAGCCAAAATATGGGTTGAATGAAATTTTTACCGACTTTTCATAGTTTATGTTTTATAATGCAGAATAGGCTATTTGAAGAAATATTCTTACAATTAAAAGTCCAAATTACTTCCAACAGCTTATTGCATGATAATTTTCATATAAGTAAGAATACCTTTTAATTCTATTTAAATCCAAAATGTAGATTTATAAAGAAATACACACACACACACACACACACAAACACACAAACACACACACACTTCAAGATTTCAAGATTTGAGATGTTCAGGAAGAAACAAATTCTATGTGTGATAAAGTAACAAACACTATTAAATAAGTGAAAAAAGATGTAATTGGAGAATCAAAAGAAATAAAAATAGTTGTTGGTGGAATAATAATGTGCAAGAAAAGATAAAATATCAGAATTTGTGTTATAAAAATTGGTTTAAATGTAAAATCTTAGAGAATTGGGAAAAATATAATGTGACCCATAGGGAGTTCAAGAAAATAATTTGTGATGCTAAAATTCTGTTTTTAGTGATCTTTATAATAGATTATATATCAAAGAGGGTGAAAAATATATGTGTAAACTAGCCAAACAATGAAAATAGAAGTAAATATTTAACTCAATTAAAGTGTATTAAAGATGAAAATAAAAGTGTTTTTTAAGAAAAAAAATATTCAACATAGGTGATAAATTATTTTGATAAACTTTTCAATGAAGTTTCTGAAAGTACACTCAACCTTAATGATTTTAAAATCATTAATCATAATAAAATATTATATTTTTACTATCGTATTAGTAAAAAAGAAGTTGAGGAGACCTCAAACAATGAAAACCAAGGATAGAAAATTAGTAGGACCTGATGATATTCCAATTAAATTGTGGAAATATTTAGGAGATTCAGGAATTTCTTGGCTTACCAAACTTTTTAATATTATTTTTAAAACTAAAAAATGTATGAGGAGTGAAGGAAGAGTATTTTGATCCCAATTTATAAGAATAAAGGGGATGCACAAGAGTTTGCAGATTATAGATGAATTAAGTTAATTTGTCATACTTTAAAATTATGGGAGAGGGTAATTGAACATATGTTAAAACATGTTATAAAAATTCTCATAATCAGCTTGGTTTTATGCTGGGCAGCTCTACTATGGAAGCTATACATTTATTGGGAGGTTTGATTGAGAAGTACAGAGAGAATAAGGATGATTTACACATGATTTTTATTGATTTAGAAAAAGCTTACGATAAGGTTCTAAGAGAAATCCTTTAGAGAGTTATAGAGAAGAAATGTGTTGATATGATTTATATTCATTTATATTCAAATATTCAAGTCATTAAAGATATGTATACTAGAGTTGTTACCTATGTTTAATTAGAAAGAGGATTGACCAATTATTTTTCTATTTCAGTTGAATTACCTCAGGGAATAACTTTAAGCCCATATCTTTTTGCTTTATTTAGGGATGCTCTTATTGGATATTTATAGGAGGATGTACCTTGGTGTATGCTTTTCGCTAATGATATTCTTCTTGTGGTGTAGGGCGTAAAAAATTGGCTCGAAACGCCAACACGACTCAAACTTGACTCGAAAAGTCTGGGTTAGAGTTGACCCGAATATTTTTCAAGTCGAATTCGGGTTAGAGAATTCGACCCGTTTATTATTTGGGTCGGGTTCAGGTTGAACCTGAAAACTCTAACATGACCCAATTTAGCATGAAGTTCGGGTCGGGTTCCAGTCTTAGTTTTCAACCAGTTTATTATTCGGGTCGAGTTCAGGCGGACCCTATTCAGGTCGAGTCATTTCGTGTCGGACCCGAATCCAACCCGCTGAACCGAATTGACACCCTTATGGTGGATAAGACTAGAGAAATAGTTCAGTATAAATTTTAATTATGGAGGTCTACATTGGAATCTAAAGGCCTTCGTTTGAGTATAACTAAAATTGAGTACATGGAAACTAATTTTAGTAGTGGTTCTAGTGGCAGAGTTGTAACTTTGGGTGATCAAATCATTAAAAGATGTAAACAATTTAGATGTCTTGGGTCTACTAATCTAAGCGATGGTGATATAGATGGGCATGTTGTTAGTAGAATTCAAGTTACTTGGTTGAAGTGGAGGAGTGCTTTTGACCTATTGTGTGATTGAAAATTACTGCTTAGACTGAAAGGAGAATTTTATAAGAATTTTATAAGATGGTGGTGAGAGATGGTGGTGAGACTTGCAATGCTCTATGGCGCAGAATGTTGGCCTTCAAAAGAGAAACATAAAATAAAGTTAAGGTTTGTTGAGATGAAAATGCTTAGGTGGATGATTGGCTTGACACTTATCGACAAAATGCGAAATGAATATATCCATAATAGTGTAACTCTAGCGGTGGACAAAATTAGAAATATTCGTCTTAGATGGTTTGATCATATTAAACGTCGATCATCTGATGATCCGATTAGGAGAGTAGATGTTTTAGATTCGACTTATGTTAAGAAAGTAAGAGATAGGCCGAGAAAGATTGGGCATATTTTATAAAAAATAATCTTAATTTATTATAATTAAATGAAAATATGACACTCAATAAAACACAATGAAGAAAAAAGGACTCATGTTGCCGACCCCACTTAGTGGGATATAGGCTTCTTCTTGTTGTTGTTGTTGTTGTAAGAAGATATATAAACTTAAATATTAATACTTATATAAGGTTGTTAAAATTGGATCAAACATAAACCAGAAGAATGAGATGTTTAAGATTTAATAATTAAACTAGTGGTTGAATCAAATGACATAATAAGTATTTTAATTATTTTAATTTAATTTAATGGTGTAATAATAGTAATAACCATATTAAAAAAAATAATTAATTAAAATAAAATTTTTATCTAATGGACGGGTCGATTTGAAGGGTTTACCATCTCGATAGTTTTGTTTTTACGAGACGCCTCATTCAAACCAAAGAATAGAAATGAGAGAACGACAAAGAGAGTAGAGAGTGAGGAGGAAGAGCGAGGGAAGGCTTAACGCGTGTGATCGAGGAGGAGATCTCGTAACTTGAGTGTACTTATGTGCGTCTTGGGAAAGGAAGACGACTCGTGCATGGATGAAGGAGGAAGCACCCTGCGACCCTTGCGTCTTGTGGAGAGGAAGACGATGAAAGCTTGCATGCTTTGTGTGTTGCTGGCTTGCTGTATAAAGGAAAAAGGAAAGGAGAAGACGCCTATGTGCTTTGAATCAAGTAAGAAGAGCCAAACTGAACATAGCTACATTTGGAAGGGTGTGACTAATTCTTGCTGCGAGGCAATCAAGGTTTTATCATGTTAATTATTGTATTTGCTATAGGTATTTATTAAATTTTAATATTAAGTTTAATTATTTCAGGATTTGTAAGCAACAAAACTTTTGAATTGGAGGGAGATGAAAAAAATATCGACATTAGAGATAAATATTTATTTGAAAACGTGTTTATAGCCAATTAAATTATTAGTTATTAATTATTGTAATAGGTTTTACTGTTAATTAAAATCAACAATCAGATACAGAAAAAATATTCAAATTTGGTAATGGATCACCTTGAAGGACAGGGTATAAGATAAATGGTTTTAAGTTTGATTTTTTTAATTTAGGTTTAATGTTATCAAAATATTAATAATATTTTATATTAAATTATAGCAACTATTAAGACCTAAGAGCATTGATCCTAAAAGATTTAAAGATAGGGAGTCAGTGGGATAATCAAGTAAGACTCGAGGTGTGTGATTATATTTTTAAATATCAATAACTTTCATATTTTTAAAAGTATGCTTGATTTCATTTATGCTCTAGTTTAATTAGATTTAAATTACAATATATTCTTTATATCGTTAGACAATAAAAATTTGCATGATAAATAGTTGTATATTAATTTTCTTTAAAACATCAAATTATTCCATGATCTTTAGAGTTATGCATGTTAAGAGTTTTACGTAAAATAATTGCATAGTGAATTACTTGTGAAATTATTATATTATTGCATTTTATTTTGATTCCAATAAAAATGAATTTATTCATTAGTAAATGAATGCAAGTGTCTCATAAGAAAGAATGTATGTTATGAAGAATAAAATATTGTATATATGAATGCTTGTATATGCATGCCAAGAGAAGTTCACCCTCTTATGGTACAGGCCAGGGGATGCCAATGTACCTTCATGCATAGATGTTATTCTATATGCCCAGACAAATATAATGTTTAGATCGCTAACTGCTATGTCAATGAGAGAATATCCGTTATGGGTGAGCAGACTTTTTCATCTCTATCAATCTTATAATTTAGTCACGAACCGCTTTGCCGACGGGATAATATCGGTTAGATGTGTGCTAGTTTATATTTTGATAGTGCTCCTAAGACATATGAAAATTAAGAGTATGAAGTATATTAAATTTTAACACATTACACCTTGAAAAATAAAATAAAACAAATGCATGTAGAAATTCTGGATTTCTTCCATGAGCAAACATCTATGAATATGTGCCATAAATTATTATATGATTTTCCAGTATATTTGGAGAGACTAACATATATATTGCCTTCTTTTTCTTGGGTTACTGTAGTTTAGAAATGTGATTACTCCACTGGATTATCTTAGATAATTCATTATATTGTTTTAATATTTTTTTAGGTTTTAAGCTTTTGAATAAGATAAATGCTAGAGGAGATAAATATTTATAGATGGTGATGATAAATTGAAAATTAATTTTTTATTTGATCAATTTCATTGTCTCCTTTAGTGACTCTTTCTATTATATGTGGATATTAAATTCTTAGTGATTTAAATAAAATGATTGAAAACTTAATTTTACTGTTTGACCGTTTGTTTTTGCCTTAGTTAATTCTAAGACCCACATACCAAGTCGTGGTAATAAGAATATTTTTATTAATGCGATATTTAATGTAGGATGCTTGACTCTTAAATATGTTGAATATGGTTCTACATTAAAATTTAGGACATGATATTTTAATAATTTCTTTCACATTTTTATCTAAATATTTAATTTCTAGCCATCAAATTAAAATCAAAAGGCCAAAATTGTTTTTTAAAACATGTTGGTTCTTAAAAAATTGGTCATGTTTATCAGTTTAACCGCCAGTTTTGGCTAGTTCTAGTTGGGCCTTTGCAGAAGTGATTTTGGGCTTGGAATAAAGAAGTCAGAGGACCAGTTCATGGTTGAATTGGTCAAACTAGATGGTCTGATCCAGTTTTTAAAACATCGTTTTCTCCTTGTAAATCACATTTAGAATTCAATCTTCATACTAATTTAAGTACTCAATGACTGTTTGGCTGTCTTGTATTTGATTTATCAATTGTTAAAATATTGTAGATTTACAGTATGTAAACATTAATCTTTCTTCAATGTCTATTTTTCTTGTCAACCCACATTCTGATTGGATGATTACAATTTTTGTTGTCTCACTGGAATCCTAGATACAATGTATTAGTAGCATGTAACATGTTAAAAAATTTTGCTTGCTATATTTAACTCCTCACTAATTAACATTCAAAGCTTATTTCAGGTGCAAATAACCAATTAAGAAAAAACATTCTATTCACATCCTTCACTAAAATTGGGAACATCAACCTTCACATTTTTTTATTAATTTAGATTCACGACGGCGTCAGTCTAGATGGATTCCATGATTTATTTCATGATGTGCATATTATCGATCATCATGATCATCACTTGAATAATATCTTCAAGAAGATCTTGATGCTTTTAAATGATCATTATGTCTCTTTAGTTTTTAAGATCTTAATAATCTTTAGATCCATATAGTCTCTAAGGATTGGGATGCTTAGGTTGGGGATGGTTACACTTTCTAATATCATGTGGAGTTTAGGAGGTGGACTAAAATTTCTATGATGGCATGCCCTCGAACACTGCTTCTAATTAATCATTTAAGGTTTCTTAAGGACGTTCAATCTTATATGATTGATTTTTTATGAACTCGTTAAGAAAAAGAAAGGCAAAAGACAAGCATCTCTAACTTGGCTCATTTGAAATCTTAGGTCGATTCCTCCAATTAATGTATCAAAATTTTTAATTATGTTTAAAATGTTTGTTCTAGATTCATTTGAACTCAATCATTTTTAATTTCGCTGGCTTTGTCTTGCGAATATTCAATTTGACTATAAATTTATTGAAGTCGGAGTTTAAGTGGTTATGAGTTTGAATGTGAAAGTTATGCATTGAGATTCATACTTGATCAATTGGGTTTCTCGTTGACTCATCAAATGCAAAATTTGATTGTATTTGTGAAGACAACAAAGAAATAGTATTGCAATAAGTATGCTTGGGTTGATTACTTTACGTCCTTGGTTTTTTTGCCTTTTTTTTCCTTAAGAGAATGTATCCTAAGTTTTGATTGGTAATTGTTAGGCACTTAATTGGACAAACTTTATATCATTTTGATCCGCCCATATTTTATGTACTTTTATAAATTTTAGACATTAAAATTCTGTTTTTTTTTTCTTTTTGTGTTTTTGAAGGTTTTGCATACTCCTGACTTCAGAAACAGCAAAGCAGCTTATGAAATTCAAAAAAGTAAGCTCAGTTCATTTCATCTATTTCTTTCTTATTAATCATTAATTAAATATTTGTGTAATGATTATAGAAGCACATACTAGTTCTCAAAGGGCCATACATTTTAGCTTTTTTTTTTTGTTAGAAATGTTGATAGCTCGCATTTCCTTTTCACTTTTGTTGATTTTGACTAAGCTAACGTTTTGATAGGTTAGGGATTCCCCTCACCCTCTTCCTTTCCCCTCTCTAGTTTTTTATTAATGCAATATTTCAATGAATCCTCAAATTACTTGCATTAGGACACTGATACAAGCTTCAGATTTTAATTAAAACTTGAACCGGTAATCAAGAGCGTATGTCTCATACTTCTAATTTACTTGTAAACATGTAGGACTCTGATTCATGTTGAGGATAACCATTTGTAGGTTCTTGGCCTATTTTTTTAAGTCGCAATCATCTCCAAGCATTTATGCTTAATCTTTGTAATAGACTACTGCAAAGCTGGTCTTTTTGTTTGCTAAGATGGTTGGTCTTTTTTAACAAAGATCTATTCTTCCTTTATTCTTTAATGTTGGAAATTTGCGGTTCCATGCCTGAATAGATATCTTACTAGCATATATAAACACTCACTTTTTACATACGCACGTAGGGGTTTAAATGAGTTGAGGTTAGCGAGCCCAGCGTTTGTAAATACAGCTTTGGCAACTTTGGCTCATTCAAAATTTTTTTTTTGTTTGAAATAGGTTCGTATTCAAAATTGCTCATGGATAGTATGTTCTTATTCGATTCGTTTTGAATTCATTTGTTCGTGTTAGCTCATATTAGGCTCAAAATTAGGTTGAATGATTTAAAAAATAATTAAAATTAACATATCTTTTAATACAACATAAAAAAGTAATATAAAAATTACAATAATATTAATTATTTAATTATTTAAATAATTCAAGCCAAAGCGAGCCCAACATGATTGAACAAAAGTTTATTTGTATTCGGCTTGCTTATAAATCGAGCTAAAAAAATTGTTTAACTTGGGCTCGTTTGTTTAACGAATGATTCGAACACGAGCTCTTCGCGAACGCCAAGCTTTTTTGGCATCCCCCTATATGCATTTAAATGAATATATTTAATGTGTTTTAGATATCACAAACAATTTTTTTTTAAAATATTGGTTTTGAAATACTCTTAGTTGCGAGAAAGCAAATGACTTCTAATTCATCCCAAACTCTTAACGCACGAAAGTTTTGATGAATCTTATGCATGGAAGATCATTTTCAAATATAAGAGCCACAGTTTTTTGTTATGCTAAAAATGATGGATAATTGTGATTTTGTGTTTTAGTTCCTTATACTTAGAATTAAGCATCAAGGAGGAATATGCAATTTTCTGTACCTGGTGGGTTTTGTACTCTGTCCTTTTCTCACTCAATCCTCTAATGAGTTTGGTTATCTGGAAATAGAAATGCAAGGACATGCGTTTGGGCTATCTTGAGAGAATAAAAAAATCTACTTCTAGAAAAGTAAGCAAAGTATTTGAGGCTTAAAAATGCTTCTTTTATTAATTGATCCTCAATGTAGAAAGTTGCACAAATAATCATGTCTAACAACAATCAAGCATATATGAATGTTTGCCTCACTTTCTAATTTTATTGTATTGTTGGGTGGCTCGGTGCAATGTTGAAGTACAAGATAGATACATAAAAACGAAAATGCAATTCCTTTATTGTAACCGTGAACTATTCTTAGAATTTTTAAACTTCATTAGAGAAAAGTTGTTCCTGGTAAAAAAAATTATTTTCATAATTAGCATGCAACTCATGTATATATGTTTAAGGACACATTAGAATATCGTGGATGAAAATAAAGCTAACGAAGCCTTAAGCTGAATGAGAATTACATAATAAATTAACTATTAGGGAAATTGAAGGAATGAGTTTGCGAACTTGTAGTTTGAGTTATATATGCATAAATGGTTCTCTTTATGAGGAGCTAAAAAAAATATAAAACCATCGACAATTTAATTTAAGCAAAAGTGATGATCGCTCAGGAAAAGCTAATTCTCTCCTTCAAGCCTCTTTAGATATTTCTTTAAGGTTGATTAGTTTGGTTTTAACTAGATTTTTCTTGATATCATGTCAGGATTTATTTAGCTTTGGTGGTTGAGAGACTTTTTTAGGCGTAATCTTACTTAATTTCCTTTTTAGGTTATAATACTCTCGATTAAGGAAACTGATTGCGCTCATATTTGAGGCTTAGATTTGATAGTCAGATCTGAAATTAATTAAATAGTGAATCGATGGGTGATGAAGGTAAAATCGATCAAGATTTTGTGGTTTTGTTATTTGAGGTATACAAACATCAAATGTCCATAAGCTTTTAACATTTAGGAAGCCTGATTATGAATCATGGGTTGACTTCCTCAGATATCTAGAACAGATCGAGATGAAAATTTATGCATGTGTCAAAGACATGCTTTTGAGATTTGACTTTGGCTAGTTCACAAGTATAGGACCGGTTGTACTAGTTTTACTGAATAGTTTTTAAGGCATGAAATATGATCATTTGCAGTTCAAAGGTATTCGGCATGACCAACAAGAGCCTAGGGGCATAACATAACCGTTAACTATTCATGAGTTTCAGTTTGCTTTGTAGAAGCATGGATAAGAAGCAACGGATTCAGTTGATGGCTTTAGTTTAGTGGCTTATTGGCAAGGGAGTTGGCATAAATTTAATTCGGGATGTGGTTTACATCTATTGAAAGGCCATAAGCGGGAATCACAATTTCGGGGGAAAGGAAAGCCTAGTGATAGATCTGATGACCTTATCATATAGTCATGATGTCCCATTTTGCTTAATTTCTCGAGTTTGTATTCTTAGTATTTTTTTTGCTAATTGGGATAGGACTTAAATTTGTTGAAATGCCAAAGTTTTGTTTTGATGAGTTTCTTGGCTTTTGCCATCCTATGTTTATAGAAAGACAACGAGCAAGACTTGCAATCTTGAGGGAGTGGAAAGCCCAACGATGAGATGTCCCATTTTGCTTAATTTCTTGAGTTTGTAATCTTAGTTTCTTTTTTGCTAATTGGGATAGGACTTAAATTTGTTGAAATGCCAAAGTTTTGTTTTGATGAGTTTCTTGGCTTTTGCCATCGTATGTTTATAGAAAGACAACGAGCAAGACTTGCAATCTTGAGGGAGTGGAAAGCCCAATGTTGAGCCTTTTGGCCTTACCCTTTATGAAATGTGACCCAAATTGTTTAGTTTGCGGAAATTATTGACTTTGTTATGCTAATATTAATTATAATGAGACTTACACCCGTTAGAGGGCCCAATTAAAGATTTTATTTTAATTGACATTCTAAACTTTGATAGGAGTGTTGTGACTTATTATTATTGCTAAGAGACATAATAGATTAGGACTTATGGCCTTATGTTTAAGGGTGGTCGACATAAGTTTTATTGTTCTGAATGTAGATTGACTTGTAAAAGATGGACCTTTCAATTGCATGCTTTGGATAAGACCATTAGATCAATAGGGAATAATAACGCCTGACTATGCCCTTGGTTGATTTGCCTAATCAATCAAGTTAACATTATATGCATTTAATTCTAAATTCAAGTAAATTTTAGTATTCTCTGCACATGTCGATGCATTTGACATAGACGTTGATGCATTAACATGATTGAATGCTATCATGTGTATTTTTTGAATGTATGGAATTGCATGAATGCCTTAACATGTTGTCACAATTTCAGAAAATATTTGAAGCACTTGCACTTATTATAAAATATATGTTTAAGTGATAAGGTTTATTGAATTTCTATTAGAAGTCTTGAGTATAGATATAACCTCATGTTCAATTTTGATATTAGACTTAAAAGTTGTCCCTTGTTCAACTTTAGGTTTAGGATCATGAATATTTGTAGTGTAGCTGCATATTTAAGGTCAACTATATCGGCTGTATGATCATTAATTGTAAATTTTCTTCATCATTTATTCATCAAAGGAATGTTTATGAACTATATTCTTTTTAATATGGTCATATTCAAGTGTGTGATTCCTATGCTGGCCCGTTTTTGACAGTTTTTAGAGAAAATGTTAATGAATTTTTTTAGAAATATTAAGCAGTGTCGTAGTTCTTATAAAATGATAGTAATATATCTCAGCTTCAAAAGATCTATGTAAGGCCTCATTTAATGACTTTATTTAGTTATAGTTTAATCTATAGACAAATGATGTTTGCAATAAGGTCTATACACCCAAGAAAATATCCAAACACATTATTGTCATCCTTTTTAAAGTTATTAATCATGTTTTTGATTCCTATGATCATTGAATGTCAAATCTTAAATTTAAGTTTCGAATCAGCTCATAGCTTTTATTTTTGCTGCAACCATTTGCCAAAAGAATTAATCATGTCGCATTAGTTTTTCTTTAGCAAATTTAACTATTTTAGGAATAAAGTTTTTAATAACTTTCAAATAAATGCTCCAAATTATCCATTAAGTTTGAAAGTTTCCTCAGATTATATATCTATGGAATGCAGGAATATGATTTTGAACCTAATATAGTAATTGTGATGAATTTTTTTCAAATTTTGACCTTAGTAATTTTATTTAAATTGCATCTTTTGTTGTTTTGTTAATAATTTCTAGTTGATGTTTTCATGCAACTTTAAGTTTTGATGCAAAATATAATGTAAGACATTCTAATATGCATAATTTCTTAATGTTGATCCTAGATGAATTGAACAAAATCGCACAAATGATGCTGGATTTGCAACCATAAACTTATAATATAGACAACTATAATCTTTTAGATGAATACAAAAATATATAAATATAAATAAATAAATAAATAAATAAATTTAGTTTTAAAAATTTGTCATTTATGAGAAGTAACACTACAAAATGTAGAAGTATGAAAAACAATTTTTGATTGAAAATTCACACTGCAATCACAAAAATTATATTGTATCAACTTAAAAATGAAAATCAATGACACAATCAAACAATTTTATTAGAAATTAAAGAATATAACTAAGAAAAGGTAAGAGTTTAAAAAAATAGAACAAAACCTCACACCTAACTAAGAGATAGCTTGACCAAAAATTTTAGTTGCTAGAAGGATTTGTATCTAGTCATAAATATGGTTCGCCAAAGTAAACTCGAGTATAAATTTTTTCTTTAAATGCCTCAAAACAACATATTTATTATTACAAGGTTATCTTCACATTTACTAATAAAAAGGTCGGTAACAAAATTAAATGCTTACAAAACTCATGAGAACTTAATAATAACTGGAAAATTCCATAACAAAAAGCCGCAAGAAGTGATCTTTTCAACTAAGAATGCAAACTATGGGCCACAAAAAAACCGGGAGTCATGTAAGGAAGCTACAAATCTCATTTGATTACAGCACTCGAATATTTAATAAAAGATCGCAAGCCACACAAGGAAGACACAGACCACAGTCTGCTATAGTATCCCAAGGAACTGACACTTAGAAGCATGGGGCAACAGTGGAGCTGTATCATCGGTCATAATGTATGGAGTGTGATCTTGGTTGTTAAGGATATAACACTCCTACACCAATATACATTCGGTTTATTTATTTATTTTTTTCAATCTAAATTAAGTATTTTGCTTATATGTATAATTTGTTTGCAGTTTTTTATGGTCATATATGTTCAACTAAATAGTGAAATTGAGTTTTCTGTTTGTCCAAGAAATAGAAAGTGTATTCCACAAAATTTGATGTGCTTATTTTGTCATACCTATATCCAACAAAGTTGGCTTCAGAATATTTTATTTAGTCAATTGTTTTTGTTCCCTTAGGATACCAAATACCTAATGAGTTTGTGCCAATAATTATCAAATTTATATTTTAACAGTTTTAAAATGCAATTCCTTGTGAGATGCTTGCTATTAGCAACCTTGGGTTTTCTGGGGCTTAATAGCAAGGATCCAATCATGTATTGACGGCAGTTTTCTTCTTCGTATCTTTATATTCATTCTTGTCAAGCATTCTCGGGACACTTGGCTGGATATCAATGAAATTTTTTGTTCTCAAAGCCAATTTTCATGATAACATTATATATATTTGGGTTGGCATCGTAAAAACAATTTGATGATTGCTTTATTTACAATCTAAGAAAGAAATTTAATTTTTCCTATCGTACTCATTTAAAAATCGCTTACCACAATCTTTGCAAATTATTCTCAAAGCAATATATTGGCCACACCAAAATTAATATCATGGACATAAATTTGCATTTCTAAAGATTTTTTTTATTGTTTTAATTTTATGTTAACACATCCTTCGACAAACCCATAATCTACAAGAAGTTTCACCTAATATCTCATTCTTGGTACTAGGAACTTGTTTCAAGCGATATAGAGACTACATAAATTTTTTTATTAGTGATTTGGAAGGCCAGAAATCGCTAAAGACTGGAGGTTGCTCAATATAAATTTTTTAGGAAATAATGTCTTTTTAAGTAATTCTCTTCTAACATCCTTCTGTACGAGTTAAGTGTTTAAAACATGCATAGGAGACTAAAAGTTTGTAGCTTCAATTCTTGTTTTGGGAGCAATGGTCTATTATATCAATTTCCTCATGTTGAGGAACCTTTACCTTGGCAATGGTGCATAAGTTTTTAATTGAGACGAGCCGGCTCGTGAGCTGCCTTTAACTTGACTCATTAACGAGCTCATGAGCCCAGCTCATTGAACCGCCAACTCGAGCTTGAGCATAGATTCGAGCTTGTATATTATACAACTTCGAGCTTTAGCTTAGCCTGAATTGGCTCCATTGCTCTTCGAGTAAGCTCGTTTATATTAATTAATTATTTAATCAATCCTATTTCACATATAGTAAATTAAATTTTTACTTTTCCATAAAATTTTAATATATTTTTATCAAAATTGAGCTTTCGAGCCGAGCTTGAGCTAAGGCCATATTGCCACGAGTTGAGTTCAAGCTCATGCTCGAGCTCGAGCTCTAGCAAACCGTAAATTCTCACCAGCCAAGCTCGAGTTTAGTGTTGTTTGAGCTCGATTCGACTCATTTACGCCCCTAGTACATGACCAATTCCATGAAGTCATGCATGTACCCTGCTCATCATCTTTTATTCTTTCACACACATCCATTTGACTTATAAGGAATTTCGCTAATTTTACTTTTGCCTTTATTTCATCAAGCAGGAGGAAACCTCGCTTTTATCTGAATAAATTGAGAACTCCATTCTGACTCTGGGAACAAATTTTCTGCCCTGTGAACTACTCAAATTGAGAAATTATCTTTTCTGTGTTACGTGAGTTGCCAGTATGATTGAAATTTATTTTCTGAAATGTAGTATGAATTGAAACTTAGGGATGAAGACCATGATGGAATTGACAAAGAGATTGACTGAAACGACCTCTACATCGAAGCCTGATAAAGTTCATGACCAACTATTGCATGGAGCTGTTATGGAGCAGAATGAGAACAAAAAGGTGGTAGTAGAGAAGCAGACTGCACAACCACAGCCACAGCCAAGTGAGGCTCTAGCTTCAGGAACTGTTACAAAACAGAAGGTAGATTCAAAAATACTGAAAAGTATTGGGGCAGAGGTGTCAAGAGGGACCTTTGTGGTGGGAGGCTCACCGGTTGGTTGGAACTTTCTTCTCTATCCTGGGACCGAACTGGTTTACTATGGCAGAACAAAGGAAAGCGTGCTTGCTAGCCGTGCTTCCAAGTAAATGGTTCTCCTTGCTTATATATCATTTTTTTGTTATCATTTTGTTATTAATATAAAAAATAGAAATTTAATGTTGTTCTTATATGTTATTTTACTTTGGTTAGAAGTTTTGGTTATTATATAATTACTTCTATTTAGTGATTATCATAATTTTCGTTTCTTAGCTTTATTGTATTTTTATTTCTATTTTTTTTTAATGCTATTGAATTCATTTCTTCAAATCATTGGAAAATACATGGGAATTAAATTATTGATTAGACAGGAGTTAAAATTATTTAATTTAGTTTGAGATGAGTGTAATATAGATTTTAACTAATTGTTTTTTTTTATGTTACACTTCTTTCAAAATAAATCACTGTTTTGTTTTATTTTGTTTTGTTTTTTTATTTTTTTTATTTTTATTTTTAACCTTATTATATTTTAGTCTTTCTGTAAACATTAATCTACATAGCATTTGAAAATCTTTGGGATAGGGTTTTAGATTTTAGGGAAATTTACATTACCCAGCACATAATTTTTGTATTTACATAGCTCACACCTAAACTTTCATAATTACATACATTGCACTTTAGTGCTTTAAATAGATGCATGAAAAGAGTGTATTTTAAAAAAAATGGTAATAGTATTATTTTTGATGTGATATTAAAGATTTGAGGGCTATGTGTGCAAATATGATTTTAGGTGTGAGATATATAAATACACAAGAATTGTGTATGTAATGCCCCTTAAATTTTATTCCAGAATGATGCTATAGGAAGTGCTCAGGTTTAGTCATAATACTTTTTATTGCGTTGCACTTCATAAGATACATAGGTAGTTTGTGGATTCCTCTCCCAAAAAATCTCCAGCTGGTAAAGATTCTCCAAGTTATGGCTAAAATTCTCGAACTGTTTCATCGCCTGCGCCAAAGTTGTGCTTTTGATGCTCAATCATAGGAGAAATTGTTACGTATATCTGGACGACTGTCCGGATGGGCCGCCGTGCAATCCATGACTGCGTGGCCGCATCCGGACTATCTTAATGTAATAATTTTCCCAACCATAGAGCTACCTACTTGCCTCTATAGTTTACAAGTGATAAAGAATATCACAAACATAAAAATAAAATTCATGTTTGCAACAAGCGATTTTAAATAACAATTTTTTATTCATTTGCATCCTCTCACTATCACTTTTTTTTATTTAAATAATTCAAAAGTATAGTTATGGGCTTTTGCATTGAACCTGATCCAAACTATTAAGTAGAGATCATCAACATGAAATATCCCATCATATTTTACTCTCCAATAGAAGAAGCCTAATTGTTTCCATAATTTGTGACTAGGACTAGGATAGGTTGCATCTTAAAATTGTTACATCTTTTTCCCGCACAAAATCGTTAAAGACGTTTGAAGGCCTGATTGGGACCAGTTTTATTTTATTTATTTTTAATGATATTTGCTTAATATATTTTTGAAATGTCATTTTTTATTTTTAGAATCTATCAAAATAAAAATTGATTGTCTTAAAAATGGGTTGATTTCTTGATCATCTTAACCATATTTTTTTTCCAAATTAAAAAATAAACAAAACAAAATAAACCCTAGACAATAATAATAAATAAAGGTGGCACAATAAGGTTATGTTTAGGGCGGGCAATTATCCCTTGAAATCTAAGATTTTTCTATATAAATAGTAAAATTAAATATTTTTTCTTTATGCAGTTTAGGCAAGTTAATAATTTACGCACTCCCTTTTCCCTCGATATATTTTTTGCCCGTTACTTAAAAAATAAACACATGGTGATTTTGCCCATCCTAAAAAAATAATGCTGATTTCACTAAGGGCCTGTTTGGGGCAGCTTATAAGTGCGGCGGCGTTTTCGAAAACGTCACCTACCCGTTTGTTTCGCACGTTTCATAGATTATATCAAAAATGCGTTTTATATTTTCTATTGCACGCGTCGTCTGGAGCTTATTTCACTTCTTTTACGCCTCTACCCCTCTCGCTCATGAAACCTACCTCGCATCTAATGTCGATGAGCGAATTGAGGAGAGGGAGGAGCGTGACGCTCAGGCGAGAAACACGCGGTCGTTGATATATTTTTCCAGGAGCCGTCCCATAAAGCTTGCTTAATGTAGGCTGGATCGGAGGAGCATCGGTGAAGTTCGGAGTGGGATGGGGATGGCGATTGCCGGGTCTGTGCGGCGGCAGGGGACTTTTTGGCGAGGTTCGTTGAGAGGGAGGGGGCGAGTTCGTGGGCTGGATTGGAGTGAACACGACCTGGCGATGATGGTTAGCGATTTCTTAGAGGATTGGAGTGGTGGTGCGGAGTCGCGGTATAGCAATGACAGTGACTCTGGGTTTCCAGATCCTAAACTTCTGGCGGAGAATGTTCGGGCGAGCTTTCATTCCGCAAATAGGATTTCCCTTTTGTTTATCTTCTGTATTTTGCTAGTCGCTATCTGAATTTTTGATTAATTTTAGTTTCAATTGCTTGCTTAATGTTAGTTATATTTAGAAGTTAAAAAATGAATATAAGCTCTATCAATTCCTTAAAAAAAAAATAATGAACTACGTTCATAAAGAGTGAAAATGAAATATTTATCTATCTACAAGCAATCAATTATGCCCTGATAAAATTTATTCTCATTTGTCTGTATGCCCTGTTACACCCTGCCCTCCTGCACCATCGATTTTAAGTTGTTTACTTGCAATTAGGCAATACTGCAGAGGCGTTTTTATACGTATTAGAATTTAACATCCTTGCTCAGAATTTATATTGCTTGATAGTCTCGCAACATCTGGACAATTGTACGATCATTCATAAGGTTTAGAAAATGGATGACCGTCCTGATTTCTCCCAAATAGATAGGAAAGGAAGTTGTTGCTAATGGTAGGTTATTAATGATTTTTTATTGTCGGAATTTGATTAAATTAATCTGTCTTGAAATTGTTGGTTAGATTAAGCTTTTTTTTTTATTAAATTTGTAATTGCAATTTTTACACAATACATTTACTAGCAAAAAATAAGTTATTTGTGCAAAGAGCATAATCATCACTAATTTTTTATGGTTTGTCATAGTTACCAGAATGATCTATTGGATTGATGCAACCTGCAGCTTGCAAGGTTTATTAATCTATTAGCTACTACCAATTTCTTTAGTCACTGTTTCTGAAAAAACTGCTTAATTAATATCTCACAAAATGCAAAAAACTATAAAAATGTTTGTGCAGTACCTTATGATAGAATCATTTTATTCTTCGGTCAATTTTAGTAGTTATATGTTCAATTGTTTTCATTTTTTCTTTTGAACTTTCGGTTTATGTATTTATAATTTATTAGAGAGAGTAACCTTAGATGGTTTGGTCACATTAAAGATCGACCATTTGATGACCCAGTTAGGAGAGTATTGTTTTATATTTGACATATGTTAAGAAAGCTAGAAGTAGACCTAAAAGAACTTCAGTTAGTTGTTTTATATTTGACATACGTTAAGAAAGCTAGAAGTAGACCTAAAAGAACAACATTCTATGCAGAATCATGAAACTTCTCAAATCAATCACATAGATCTACACACAGAAAGCTATCTTTGAACCTTAAAAGCCTCTCTTTCAAAAATCGAGATGAGTTTGGTCATTATATTGTTGTTGCAAACAGCTCGACTGCGTGTGGTCGAAATGATCATTTTTCCAAAAACAACTATAAATAAACTGTTTACAAAACGCACAAACCAAACAGCTAAACAACTTATCTAAAATAGGGGTAGAATTGTCATTTCTCCAAAATCAGCTGTTTTCCAGACGCACAAACCAAACAGTCAGACAGCTTATCCGAATCAGCTTCTCATCAGCAGATTATTAGGATAAGCTGCTTATCAGCAGAAGTTGGATAAGCTGCAGTTGCCCCCAACAAACCCTAAATCAGTATTTTTTTTTTGAGTGGGTAAAATTTGATATTTAAAGTTGGCTCTTTTTTCTGCCAAAAAAAAAAAAAAAAATCCTAAGGGAATCCCCAGACTTGAACTTTTCATCAATATTGCAGTAGAGTAGATATGTTACAACATGCACATCTAAACTTAACGTCATAACACACCCTACCAATGCATTCGATACCTCAAACAAAGCCTTTATCAAAGCACAATAATAATCAACAACTGCATTGGGTTTTGAAAATTTTAGTGGCCACACTCATGCATGACAAGGTTGAATTTTATTTGAATTATCATTATTTTCTTGCTGCATTTACACACAAACCACACAATTCTTATGTATTTACATATCTAACACCCAAACTTTTATATTTGCATGCATAGCACTCAAATGATCAATGCATTTTGAAATTATTTAAACATCGCCCACAAGCTAAATTATAGCTGCTCTTATCATGAAATGAAATTGGAGTATATGTGTGCATTTTATGAGGTTCAATGATACTTGCTATGAGGAGACGTTTGTTCGATGCCTAACACTTATTCTGAGGTTTACTGGATGTTGGGATTCCTACATGTTAAGATAGCATTATATTAAAATATACCATTTTGTTAAAATTAGAACTAGTTTTAACATTATGATGATATTTTATATTATAATGTAATGTCTTTTTGGCTAAATAATTCTAAACCCATAAAATTG